CCATGCCAGGAGTGCTTTGACTCGTTGGAAAATGACTAATCGATTCCATACCAGAACGAGTCAAAGCACTGGAAAATGCTAGTGGCAAATCGACTAAGTACTGATACACATTTGTAAACATTTTTGTCAAGTTGATAATGTGAGATAAATGACTATTGAAAAAAATCATGGTGTCTGTTTACTTTTGAGATGTCTCTGTATTATGGTAAAAGTATGAGTCAACAATAATTTGTGGTAAGATCGAAAGATAAAACAACAACAATTACTCTTAAGGTGAATTGATGGCTCACCAACAACGTATTTTAAGACAGAGAGAAGATGAACTACAACATCTATTATGATAAATTTATATAAATCAACAGCATGTGTTAAGACGAAGGGATACGTCAACAACTATATATGTCAAGATAGAAGGATAAACTGACAGCCTGTGTTAAGGTGGAGGGATAAGTTCATAAAATGAGTTTATGAAGAAAGATAAGTGAATAGAAACATGTGTTAAGATAAGAAATAAGTCAACACTAATATACGTTAAGGAAAAAATCTATCGGTAGAGAGAAAACATTTATTCCATAACTTTTTATAAGGGGTTGATGATTTTATACAGCTATAAATTTTTTAGGAAGAATGAAACGAGCAAGAAGATTAAAGCTTTTCCATTAAGTTCTAATGTCAGAGAGTTACTCACAGAGATACAATCTGCCGAGCTGTTACTTCAACAGGCTTTTTAGTTTCACAGTTCTGAACATTTCCTTTTAGTCTCAACCAGTCGCTTGCTGTAACATAAAGATGTTCCAGTAAATTACTCCATTCTACGTTCTAAAGGTTGTAAACAAGTGATAAATGAAACTGGGAGAAACGTCAAATAGAGAGTGTTTTACTGCTATCTGAGTTAACGATTCTCTTATTCTCAATGTTTCTAAAACCAGTATAATCTATTACCAAGGAAATCTCACTTTCAATTAAATTGAAGTCCTGCAAGCTCTGAGTTTTAGCGAATAATGAAATTAATTAATTGACACGATGTCACTGGAAAACTCTTAAAGTTTTCCTTTTTACTCTGTATATTGTCAGGACTATAAAGTGTAACTAAAAAAAAAGGGAAAAAACATTTATCCATTGAAACTACCTTGTTTTGAAAGTATAATAAGTAATAAGTAGGCTTAACGTCTATTCTCAATAGTGTCATTTGAAACCTCTAATGCTATACTGAGTACTACAAAAGCAAAACCATTGACAGAATAAATATTAAAATATTGCAGTGACGTTTGGCGTTTTCATTTTCACCTAAAAAAGAACCATTTTTCCAATTTAAGGTGGTTCAGTATTTGAAAATATGTTACATTACACACACCAACCGAGATCCATTATCAACCATGGTTAGATAAGATGGAGAGCAACCATTACCTCATAATAATAATTAAAAACATACTTAGATAATGTGAAAAACGACCATTACTTCATAAATAATAATTAAAAACACACTTAGATAACGTGAAGAGCAACCATTACCTCATAAATAATAATTAAAAACACACTTAGATAACGTGAAGAACAACCATT